TTATTCCTTTCTCTCTTTTGCTCACTCTCCCTGCAGAGTGAATATCTTTGCTCAAAGGAAGTGGCCTCTGATTATAATAAGTCTTTTAAATTAAGTCCCTTTTAATGTATTTAAATGTTCAAACATTATAATAGCCCACTAACTAGCACAGATATTGGATTTTAAAAGCAACAAGGAATCAATGCAACCAATGAACCCTTATTCCAGCGAGTCACACAGGATCCCGTCTGCAATAGTTTGCAGCTATTATGATCCCCAGGAGCTGAGCTCAGGTCAAGAGAGTCTTGTTTTTATGTGTTAAGTCTCTTGAAACAATGGCTTTGGTCTCTCCCAATGATGTTGTTGTGACTCTAGCAGTGTCACAGCTGCTTCATGAGGCCTACTTTTCTTTAGGTGCCTGGCTGTTCATTCCTATCAGTTCTGCATCTCTGGGGTAACCACTTAGGAAGGACAGATGGAATTTTGTTTGGAAGTAAGTACTTGCCTACTAGAAGGAGGATATGAAGGTCCAGAGTTCCCTGGGTGGATCAGGTAACTGCTGAGAGGCTATTTTTCCCATCCAGTAGGCTCAGTCAGACAGCTGTTACAGAAAACAGCTGCACTCTCAATGTCCCCCTTGAGTTCCACCCACACCACTACTTCAAGGTTGAAGCAAAAGATACTACCCATTCTACAAACTAATATAAATTCATATTCAGAAGGCCAATCCTGCTCAGATGTGATTATAAAAGCAATTCACTCCCTATTTGCCACACTAATGGCATACACGCCAGAGCTTTCTTTCTTGTATCTTTTCTTTAAGGATTTGTTTAGATTTTATTTTAGTATTGCAAACAGTTTACAAAATCTTTGTAAACTTAAACACACACACACACAGACTTCCCTTACCAATCAACTAATCTGGGCGTTTCAGCAGAGGCTGCCATTGCCCTTTTGCTATACATTTGCTTCATCAGCCCTTCAAGGAAGTCAATCGAATTGGCAAGGAGGAAAGAGAAAGAGAAAATGTAGGAACTATATAAGGGTACGTGGAAACTATTGCACTCAGGGGAAATTTGCCAGACAAAAAACAACCATCAGCAATCACAAGGGATACATAACTGAAGGCACAGCACATTGTCTCAATAGTTTCATCAATCCTCCTCCCACACTTCCTCTACAGAGTTGAACATGTACAACCCTTGCAGAGAATTATTTAAAATTTGCAATTTGAAACTCAAGTGGAAAAGCAAATGGTAGAAACAAGACACCTGCCACTTCAGACCAAGCATTGATCAGAAAGAGATGACAATCTGCTGCGGTTTCTCCCATCTTCATGGCACCAGACAAAACTACTTGCAACGTAACATTTCTTATAGTCTCCTTTGTTCAGAGGCTACCTGACATTATGTTCCTTTTTTTTATTTTGGAAAAGGGAGCAAAAATGGAGATCAGATGCTCAAGGCTTAGAAGGAAAAAAATAGCCTAATTTTGAAAGTAAAGCATGACTGAACCATTTGAATAAAACAGTAAGAAATTTAGGTTAGTACGGGTAACTGGGAATTTACCCATATTTTTTGGAGTATAAGACGCACCTTTTTCCCCCAAAAAAGAGGATGAAAATCTGGGTGCATCTTATACTCCGAATGTAGCCCCACCCAGCTTCTCAAACAGAGGTTTCAGAGGCTGAAAAAAGAATCAGAAAAGAAGCTTCAGAAAAGAAACCCCCAAACAGAACTTCAGAGGCTTTTTTTCTGAAGCTCTGATTCGGAGGCTTTCAGAGGCAGGAAAAAAAGTTTTTTCTGAAACAGTTTCAAAAGTTTCAGAGGCAGCAAAAAAAAGCAAGGCACAGAGCTCACAACCAAGGAACCTGTTGCTAAAATTCATCTCTGGGAACAGCTGATTGGGGGTATTCTGGGAGGCCGATCCACCTGCCAATCAGCTTTTTTCTTATTTTCCTCCCCAAAAACTAAGGTGTGTCTTATACTCCGAAAAATATGGTATATCTTATTTTTTCCTCATAATTCAACATCCCTATGTACCAAAAAAACCAAAGTTATTAAGGTACATAACTGAGAAGGTCTCATTTTCATGAGCGGCTGGGAGATTTGATCTGCATAATACAATATGTACTTTGTATAAATAATCCACGATAGCATCACAATCCATGCATGCGCATTCATAGTCATACCTGAGCCATACCTCATAACTCCAGACATGTGCCTGCTTTCTTAGCCAGCTGTAGAAAATTTAACTCATGAAGCAGCTGTGAGATCCTCTGAGTAAAATCATTCCAGGCAATAAATTCTGACAGAGCAGACCAAAATCACTGCAGGTAGCAAATGATAGGAGGCCTGGGAGAGCAGGTGTCTTGCACTGCTGCCCCTCCCCCCCCTTCCCGTCATAGCTGATTTGAGTTAGGCCTTTTGTGTAAAATGGTAAACTCTGGCTATTCCAACTTTGGAGCCGTCTTTAAGGAATGGTTCCTAATTATGACACTTGTCTGAAAGCTACCTCCTGGTTGATATGTGTTCCTTTCAAGCCTGATATTTTCCCCACATCTGTCATTTGCCTGATAACAGAACAGAATATCAGAGTTGGAAGGGACCTTGTAGGTCATCTAGTCCAACCCCCTGATAAAATTGAGGGAGATTTCTATCCCCGTTTTAAGTACAGAGTTGTGAACAAGACATTTGGTTGCAAAAAAATGAAGCAGCAGCAACTTTAGTTGTAGAACACGAGACCTAGGTTTCCACAATATTACAGTACTACATCCTTGAGGCATCACACCTTTTCTAGTGTTGTGCAGCTATGGCTTGAAGTAAAAAGCTTCAAGATCCATTCCTTTTGAACCCCACAAACAAAACATTCATTCTCTACTTACAATAGATCTACAATGTGTTGAGGACATCTCCTAAAATAACCCTCAGCTTGGCCTTGGGCCAGGCCCAGCCTTCCACATCCACTAAATGGGAAATCAGCATCTTGCTTGCTCTCAATCTGCAGCAGTAAGAAATAGATACCCATTTCCTGCCCTGAAAATCGCAGCATACAGACTGATAACTCCAAGGACTGAAAGAGACAGAGCAAATTCAGTGTACAGAATGTTCCATCGCTATGGGCACCGTGTCATAGAAAGGGGAAGCCTTTTCTGTTGGCTGACGAACAAAGTGGCATAACATCCACTTATTCCCCGGCTAATGTATGACAGGAAGGTGACCTTGTGCAAATAAATGCCTCTGTTTCTTCTTTAATAAAATGGGAACATCCTGATTCTCCCTGGCATCACAAAATGGTGAAAAACACAACAACAATTGTCCCTTTACTGTACTTGTAATGTCTGGATGTTAGTGATGATGGAAAATATACCTAAAAGGAGGGAGAGTTCAAGAAACAATGAATAATGACTAATTCAGTGACAGAGGTTGAATACAGCAGCCTACAAAACACCACAGCTACATTCACATGCATTTTCACACAGCACTATATCAAACTTTTGACAACGAAGTCAGGCTCCTTCTTGTGTCCAAAGCTGTAGCTGCTGCTCTTTTCCATTACATTACACTATGAACTTCATAAATTCCTTTCTTTGGGCATAAAACTAAAAATAAATAAAAGTGTCAATACATGTTTGCAAATGTGTATAACACAGGAAGACGAAACAAGGAAGTCAAGACTAGCTGTCTAGTTTTGCACGTGGCAAAACCCATGATTTTTTGCTGTCGCAATGCAAACATTGTCTCCTGCAGGAATGTTGATTCCCAGAAATGGCCACATGCATTTACTATATGCATAATTTTGTGCAAGAATCCTGCTCTTTCCAATGACTAATTCAGTCCGTCTTCACACTCCAGGGTATACGTTTAGCTGCTCTATGCCTTTCCCTCTGCATTCATATTCACAATGAATTATGATGGCTTCCACACTAGAATATACTTGTAATCTTTGAAAATTAGAAGCTTAACTGAGGGAGGGAAGAAAAAAGATCAAAGGCAAGAACCAGCTCAAACTTCATCACATTCCTTAATTCAGAACTCATACCAGCATGTCTCAGCCTTTTAAAAGCCTCCTGCTAGGTTGGGTGTTTCATGCAGAGCCCTGCCAGAGCCCTAAATACAATTCTGCCAATTCTTCCGGGTTGAAGATGCAGTTAATACCGGCTGTGTTTACATGAGGAATATCCAGCTGTAATTATAGGAATGATGTTATGATAACAGGAAATCCATGTTCTGTGGAGATACTGGGGAAACAGCGTACAGTTGTTTGCTAATTATGAACAACAAGAAGCCTTTGTGTAGCTGTGGAAGGATGAGTTCCCTCTGCTTTGTGGACTTTGGCCCACAAATGGTTTAAATCATGTACATCAGGGTATTCTTAGCCTGTTTCTGCACAGTTATCAAAGTTCCTGGGTTCCTGCTGACACAGCAGAGTCATCGTCCTCAGGGAAATGTGTCTGCCTGGTGTAACAGAGCCAAATGCATGCAATAATACTGCAGATTATGATTTTTTTAAAAAAAAAGAAAAGAAAAAGCAGCACAGCAACTTAATGGAAAAGGCCATTAGAAAAGAAATGGTGTTTAGTGCAATTTCTATGCAATTCCAAATCCCTAAATCTGAAGGAAGCTTGCTTTATGTGCACCTTAATAACTGAATCTCTTCTTTGCTATTTATCTTCGGACTCTTACTGAATCAGTTTTATGAGATGAAAAGAACCTAGTTCACAAGAAACACAAACTGTAAAAAAAAGAAAAAAAAGGCTTCTACTATGTAGAATCAGATTGCACATTAAAATACAGCCTTCTTAAGAGAGTAACCACAAATAAAGGAAGTAAAGATGAACTCCAGATGAAGGTTTTCCTCAGAAAGCGAGTTTTAAGAGTCATAAGGAAGTACGCATGTGGATATGACTTCATTCTTTTTAACAATGTGAGACTGAGGCGCAGGGATTTCTCCCCCTCCACCCATTTTATGGGCCAATAGGACTCTACTAAACAACATAACAAGACCTCCAAGTGTCTTACCTTTTTTATCCTGCCGCTTCGTGTACCGGCAAAAACAACTGTGTGTCCATGGTAGTCATAAGCAGCCACTGATGTCATGCCATCTTTCTTATCCTCAAAGAGCGGCACACCTTCAATGGTGACAGTTCCACCCAACGGTTGGTTAAAATCTTGTCCACAGAAATTATCATCTATTTGCAAGGGCTGTAGAAAAATATAGGAACAGAAAAATAGAAAAAGATTAGTCGTCTGATGCTGTTTCAGCTCACCAGGTAGTAAAATTATTCCATGACAAAAGGATCTCAAATCTTCAGGATTATCACCAATAGGGAAATTGGTAATAGTAATGACAGTAATTTTTTATCAGTCGAAAAGCATAAGGAACAAGTTCCCAATGGTTAGGAGAAAACATCTTTCCTCCTCACGGCTCCCTATTTGCGTGCAGTTAACTTTCACCATGAACCAAGCAAGCAACACAACTTATTATTATTAAATTTATGTTCATTAAAATGATTTGAAATTAATTAGAATAAAAATATGCACATTTAAAATAAAGTTAGGTTCAGGGAAAAGCCAGAGAGAGAAGAGAGAGAGAGAGATTTCTACCAGCATAAAAAAGGCATGCCTGCTGAACAAAAAGTCTTAAGCGTAGATTTTCAATGCCTGATTTTAAGGACTGGGAAAATTCACGCAAGTTCATGCAAGTAATTATATGGTATCATCCACAGTTTAAAATGATCCTGGGAACACATGGAAACCAGGGGTGGGTTTCAAAATCCATCGCTACCGGTTCGCTCGTAGGCACGTGCACCCAAACCTGTACAAAAGGTACAGGTTTAGTGTTATCTTCTCTCAAAATTTTACCCCTGCAATAATTGGATAGCTGAATTCCATACTTTAAGGAGACACTTTCCAGTGTCTCCTTAAAGACAGCTTCATTTGCAACATATTATGATACTCTGGTCTAGATAGAATTAGATAAGGATGCAACTGATGAAAAGCTGCATTCTTGTAGTTGGTGTGATCAGCAAATTTCAAGGTTGCATTGAGCTGAGTAGAAACCCCAAGCTGCACATATGATCCCTCAGTAAGAATATAGTTTTCAACACTATATTACCTTCCCATCCTCACACTCTCCTTCTAGGAGAACTAGTTTGATCCCAGCTGAATTAAACCTCAGTTTGTTTGCCCTCATTCATCTTCAAATTCAGGATTTTTACAACTTTCTTGCAATTAGTTAGAGAAAACAAAAGCTGAAGCTGTTGTCCTATCACCTCTACAATGATAGTTAAAGCAGTCCTGGCTTCATTTACTGGCAGATATTACTGCACTACAGACGTTAAAAAGCATGGGATCGAAATATAACTCTGAGCTCCATCATGTGACAACAACCATGGCCCAGGACTGGAATAATGAATTGTATGGGGCCATCAAAAGGAAGTTCATTATAATACCATGAATCCAAATCCTACCCCAATAAGACAACTCAGTATGTGAGAATTGATGGTATCAAAGATTAATGAGAGGTAGGCTTCCGGTGGCACCGCAGGCACTAACAGACGCTCCTTTCAGACCGTCAGCCCCGCGATTTCGTTAAAACCGCCAAGACAGCGCAAATCAGCTGTCTGGTGGCTTGGAAACCTTCCCCTTGGGAGAAGAGAGGAAGGCGAGCAGCCGGACTAAGGTAGAGCTCCCCAAAAGCCCTAGGAGTAATTCTGGGGCTTGGAGGGTGAGAGCTCCCTGGTAGTTCAACTGAGCTCCGAATCCGAGGCTTTTCTGCTTCAAGCAGAACAAGACGCCGCAACCAGCCCTGCAATCAACATTCAGATTCAAAATAAGCTTAAAGCAGGCAGAACAAAAACAGGAGTCCTAGTAACTGCAAGTACTGAACTTTAACTCTGTGTCTATACTTCTTCCTTCTAAGACTTTTAAAATGAAAGCAAAAATGGCACCTGAACTGCAACAGGGCGTGAAAGTGAAAGTTATAGTGAAAGTGATAGTTAACATTGTTAGCGCTTCTAAGGCTTCTAAGGCTTTTTAAGATTATTGGATTCCACATCAAAGAAAGAAAGATTTAAAATGGAAAGACTACAGTTTGGACTTTAAATAAACTATAATACTTACAAAAGATTTAAAAATATTTGGATTTATTGATTTGATTGCTGTAGGAAGTATAAATTGAAAGCTAAAAATGGTTTCTAAGCAAATAAAATCTGGCTTTAAAAGTGCTGGAGGATCACCAGCACAACCATCAAAATTACAATCTTTGTCTACTTCAAACCCACAAATATTGACTTTGGAAGTTCTACAGGAATCTCTGCAGGACGCTTTGAAGCAACAAACTTCTTTTTTAGAGGGGAAAATTAAGGGAGTGTCTGAAGAAATGGCTGAAATTAAAGAAGTTATACAAATTCGGAATAAAGTAATAAGAGAAGACATAGTAATGGTATTTCAGGGTCTGGCAAAACACATTGAATTGTTGGATGAAAGAGTAGAAGAAATTTATCAGTCCAATTTGAATTTGGAAAATAAAATGGATGAAGTTCAGACTAAGGTGGATAGGGCAGATGATGAAGTGGTGATGTTACAGTATAGAGTGATGGAATTTGCCCTGAGAGTAAGAGGTTTGAGAGAACACAATCGAGAGAACTTGAGAGAGATCTTTGCAGAGGCTTTTGCAAAGATAACTGGGGAGCAACAAGCAGATCTCTCATTGCAAATTGACAAAATATATCGTGTTAATTCCTGATTTGCCAGACAGAATCAATTGCCAAGAGACATGGTGATTTACTTTACAACGAGAAGGACCCGAAATGAAATTTTACAAGCTTTCTATAAAAATAAACTTCAAATTGCACGACAAGAGGTTTTAGTGCTGAAAGAAATTTCCCCCAAAAATGTTGAGAAGCAGAAAGGAGTTTGCTTTCTTGGTGGATGAACTTAGAAATAGACAGATTCAGTTTAGATGGGATGTTCCAGCTGGACTGGTGGTGAATTATATGGGAGAAAGGTATCGCCTTAACACAATTTGGAAGGCAAGAGATTTTTATACTAATGTATTAAAGGCTGGATTCCCACCATCTCAGGAAATGAGGAGAAGAAAAGAAGAGCTGGCAATACAGGGGAAGAAAAGTAAACAGCCACAAGCCGCAGGAGAGACCTCGCTTATTGAAGAAGATTTATTGCAACTTTTTGGTACTGATCAACCTTTGGAAGTAGCAGAAAAAAGAGAAGAACCACAAGAACAAAGGCAGACCTGTGCAGCAGCAAAGCAAAAAGAACAAGATTTAAAGATACAGCAAACTCAAATGAAAGCTCAAGAAGCAGTGGGGGGGGTGGGGGCAAGGCCGAAGAGAAAGGTGCAGGAGGATCTTCAGCTGGCCCTTTTAAAGCTTCAAGGTGCCAAGAATGGCAACTAAATTTTTGACTTGGAATGTCAATAGTTTAAATTCACCACAAGAGAGAAAGAAAATATTTCATTATCTAAAACAGTTTAAAAATGATATAATTTGTCTGCAAGAAACACATATTAGAGTGACAGATCAAAAATACTTGATAAATTCAAGATTGGGAACACACTTTGTCGCATCTGCCCCAGAGAAGAAAAATGGTATAGTTAAATACCTAAGGACAGATTTAACAGCCAAATTAATTGTGGCAGATGCTCAAGGAAGATATATTGCAATTGAACATTTAATAGAGGGGAAGAAAACACTTTTAATTAGAGTATATGCTCCCAATCAACAGCAAGAAAAATTCTACACGTTTTTGCATACCAAAATAATACAATGGGATTATAAATCGTGTATATTAATGGGTGATTGGAATGGAGTACTGGACACTCAAAAGGACAAAAAAGGAGTACTTCAAAATATCCAAAAACATGCAAGACTGCCCAAATCTTTTTTTTGACATGATGGATGATATGGAGTTGAGAGATATTTTGCGAGAACGAAATCCAGAAGAAAAGGATTTTTCTTTTTTTTTCTGACAGACATCAATCCATTTCCAGGATTGATTTCATATAGATTACTAATGATTTCTTTTCTAGGGTAAAGAAGACAAAGATATGTTCAAGAATTTTATCTGATCAGAGTCCGGTGTGGATGGAATTAGAGCAGGAAAAGGGACCTAGAAGGTCTTGGAGGTTAAATGAAAATTTGTTTAGATATGAGGAAAATGTGAAAGAATGTAAAAAAAACAAATGAAAGAATTTTTTGTTATGAATATGAACAAAGGTACACCTATGGAAATGGTCTGGGATGCAAGTAAAGCATATATGAGAGGAACCTTAATACATTTGAATAATAAATATAGACGTAGACAAGAAAAAAATGGAGGGATTTAGAAGAGGAAATAAAAATGAAAGAGCAGGCACTCATACTGAATCCAACAGATAAGAAAATAAAGGAAACAATAAATTTGCTACGAGAGCAGTTTAATATGTTGATGGCAGACCAAGTGGCAACTAATTTACAATATGCTAAACATAATACTTTTTGTAATGCAAATAAACCAGGTAGATGGTTAGCCTACTTGTTAAGGAAGAAACTAAAGCTATGTACTATAGAGAAGATAGAATTCAAAGGTAAAGAGGTATATCAACAAAATATGATTAAAAAAGCTTTTTTAGAATTCTATACAAAGTTATATGCTAGTGATAGATATAGCATAGACATAGAATATAGATATAGATAGATATAGCATAGACATAGATATAGTGAAAGACATAGACAGATATTTACAGGAGGAGAATATTCCTGTAATTACACCAGAGCAGAGGGAAGGATTGAACCGACCAATAACTTCAGAGGAAATTATTTTAGCAATTAAACAGTTGAAGGGAGGTAAAGCTCCAGGCACAGATGGATTGACAGCTGTTTATTATAAAAATTTGCAGTTAGAAATGGTAGAACCACTTAAAGAAGTATTTCAGAAGATCCAAGCTGGAGGAGATGTACCCCCTTCTTGGAGAACAGCTTTTATTTCATTGATTCCAAAGGAGGACCAAGATCATAGTCAACCTAAGAATTATAGGCCAATATCGCTTTTAAATACTGATTATAAGATTTTTGCTAAAATACTAGCAAATAGGTTAATGGTAATTATGCAACAAATGATTCATAATGACCAATCTGGATTTATAAGTGGGAGACAAATGAAAGGTAATGTAAGACAAATTGTAAACTTATTGGAATATCTGA